AAGTAAAAACAGACCTACAAAACAGTCAAACGGGCAGAAGTGATTCTCTAAACACACATAGTGTGTAGAGGCCCTGGCCCACAAAAGGGATCCCAACAGGGACCCCAAAATGTATGTGATGACACAGTGCAGAAGAGAAGGTTTTCTGCATTGCAGTCATTTATATAATAAATATTGTGTAGGAATGCCTGAAGGCAATACATCAGATCTGTTTTGGGGTAACCAGAAGGAGTGGCCCCAAGACAGTATAAATTAGACAGAACTAGGAATTATGTGCAAACCACTTTTGCCTGACTCTACCAATTTGACAAGTGACCGCAAATTCCTAAGCTGTGACCTCTAATTGTTGGCCAGCAACTGACTTGTGCTCTGGCCCTATAAAAGCCACATAAACCCTATCTTAAGTAGCGCATCAGTGTCTACCCTGCAAATATTTTTGAGGACCTTCATTGTGCAAGAGACGCTGAGATGGGCAAATATGAAAGACCCTGCGCCTGCTCTTGGGGAATTTACAGAGTGGGTATCAGACAGGCACCATGCACCCATAAGGCAACTGATTGGCCAGTGTGAAATTGTATAAAACCAAGCCAATGGGAAAGAGTAGATTTGGACAGGGGATGGGAAGGGCAGCCATACAAGATGAGTGACATTTATGCCCCTGATACATGCAGAGGACCCCCTTTTTCTCTGGTCCCTTGTTGGGTGGTGCATTTGTCTGTTAACATTGATAGCACTGTATTATGATCATTTGCTTTTAGGTCACCTCTGCGACTTTTCAAAGGCAGGTACCATGTCTTACTCGTTTTTCCCCCACAGCACCTAACATAGAGTATGATGTACTCAATCACCGTTTGTCCCATAGATAAATAAGAGAATAACATTTCATCATTAGAGTAGGAATAAATCCGCCACGTCCATTAGTACAGGAGTAATGGTTTCCCCTGTCCCAGGCCAGAGGGAAGTGTCTGTGAGGGCAAAGTCTGACAGAGAAGGACTTGAAAGGGTATGTGTACATAGGGGAGCTTCCAGTGGATCTGTCCTTAAGAAAGAGCCAAAGGTTAAAAAATAGAAGTCATCAATGAGCCACCCGAATTGAAAGAGCTGAGCAAATGTGGGCACAAAATAAAAAACAATAAAGGATGGTGGACATGGGAAATTAAAGCAGGTAGATTAATTGGGATTCAGGACATGAATTACAAAGGGCTTTATGGATGGCCCGCCACAAACTCTTTGGACTGAGGAAAAGTCTTAAGTAAAGTTGCAGGATAAAATGTGTCCCAGATATTCCATGGGATACTGTGCCTCAAATATTCCATGTGATAAACTTACACTGAAAAAATGCTTCATTGTTTTCCCTGAAATTCAAATCTAACTGGGCATCTTACGTTTTTATTTGCCAAATCTGGCAACCGAGTTTAAAGGAACAACCAGGATGGAAAAAGGGCTGGACAGATCTGGTGGGATGAGATTATGGAAAGTTAAATCCCTTGAGGCTTCATGTGGCAAATTTATTCCAACTTTATTATTAAATAATCAAGAAGCCTCTCAAAAGACAAGGATGGATTTAGTAAGATAATAATAGCATGAGTCTCAAGTGATAGCAAGCGTTGTTGGGGTTTCTCCCCCTTTCTGAGTCTTTCACACCTGTGCCTATGGTCACCAGACCTTATAAACATCCCACCTGTGGCTTCTGTCCAGGAGCCAGTCACCAGATTCTACCCTCCAGAGGCTCAGGGGAAAGAAAATCTTTCCTCTACCTCCCCTGGGAGAAAAAAGGGACTGAACAAGTTTTCCACATGGTGGGGTGGGTTTACCTCAGGGGAAATCTTACACAGGCATTTGTTTTTCTTTACATAACAAGTCATTTGGAGGTAGGATGCTGTTGGCGTTGGTTTAGTTGCTTAGCAACATCAGGACCACATAACTGAAATGCTCTCAGTTTCTGCCTCATAGTTACAAGATGGCTGCTGCAGCATCAGCCACCGCTGTCCTGTTTGAGGAAGGAAGAAGAGGATGAGGTCATTCAACTGTTTCTGATCTTATTCTTCTCTCCTTAAGAAAATAAATGGCTTCCTGAACCCTGCCCACCTCAGCAGACTTTTGCTTCTATCTCATAAAAGACTTTTGAGTTTCTTTAGTGAAATAACTAGGAAGAAGAAAGTGGAGTGGCTATTGGGTGGTTGAGAAACAGTTGAAAGGAGTCTAGCCTGACCAGCCTTCTAGAAGGAACATCTCCAGGAAACACTGAAAAGAATCCAGACTCTGGAATCCAACAAACCTTGGTTTGGATGCAGGCTCTACCACTCACTCATCGTGTTTCCCGGAGCAAGGCACTTAACATTTCTTTTTTTTTTTTTTTTTTTAGTTTTTTAATGTTTATTTATTTTTGAGACAGAGACAGAGACAGCATGAGCAGGGTAGGGACAGAGAGAAAGAGGGAGACACAAAATCCAAAGCAGGCTCCAGGCTCTGAGCTGTCAGCACAGGGCCAGATGTGGGTCTCGAACTCACGGAGTGCGAGATCATGACCTGAGCCAAAGTCAGATGCTTAACCGACTTAGCCACCCAGGCGCCCCAAGGCACTTAACATTTCTGAAGAGCCATTTCCTCATTTGAAGCATGAGGGTAGTAATGGCGACCTCAAAGCAGGGCAGGAGGAGAAGGCCAGAGATAACATATGTAGGCACCTGGTATATGTGACAGGAGGTACAAAATGAAGAGCAGCCATTCTTGTTTGGAGACACCAGCCAATTAAACAGGAGGTTTTTTGTTTCCTATTTGGTTAAGTACATATTTTCGTTAAATTCCAGATTATGTATATTTTAACTCTGCAACGTGTTTGTAATTCAACAAAACATAATTAAAACAGTGACTCGGGGTGATCATTTACACATTGATGTCATTAGGAAAAATCGGAACGTATTACAAAAAGATAACTTCTGTCGACATTCAGGTTTGGGGCACTGCCCTGATAGTTGCAAGTTGTTGTTTCTTTCTTAAATTACATGAAAAGAATGTTTAATTTGACGGATATTTAGTCCTTACATGAAATGGACTTACATCTTGAAAACCCTTCATTTTAAAATATATTTTCTATTCAGATTCCCATTGGAAGAAGACTGTAGAACTCAGGGTAATCAAAATGGCTTCAGGAGCCAAACAATAGGGCTTATGGACTCGCTGTGATGATCATCCATAAAAGGTCTTCAAAGACTATCAACATGTACCCTATTTGACAGTTGAAACCCAATGAACCCCTCATAAGGATGAAAGAGAATCATATAAGTTATTGCACTATTTGGACATTCAGAAGTCTAAATATAGGATAGAGAAATTAGGACAAACTATTATTACACATACAGATGTTTAAAATTTACTGGTAATGAGCTCTCCTTGGCATAAGAAAATGAAAGAAGAAATGGCATTAGAATTCTTTATTATTTGTGAAAACGTCTTCTGGGCAAGCCAGTTTAATACATACAGTGCAAATAGCAATGACTTGTCCAAGGAAATATTGAAATCCGTTAGGGTTGCACATGCATAATCTGATTCAACAAGTCGGTATATTTCTCTCAAAAACATAATATCTTTTCTGCATTGTGTGAGATGAAGGTTAGATTGCATTTCTTGCCTGTGCAATAATTCCCACATCATAAATTCTGATGAAATTACATCAATATATAAAGCAAATGGATGTCTGACCTACCATCATTTTCTACTTCTCAGCGAGAGAGGCTGCCATCCAAGCAAATCCCCAGCTGCTTGGAGCTATGCTTACTACAGCATGCCTTTGCCTGGGAACTGTTATTAACTATCCTGACCAGGAGCGGCTGCTCGAGTCTGCGGTTTCTGCTCTGAATATTAAACTTGGGCATACAAGAGTCCTTATTGTGGGGAGCACTTGGAAATGGTAATACAAAATTGCGTTATATTTGTGGGATTTGATTGCTTTAGATGATACAGCCCTAGCTGGTGGGCCTCTCTTGCTGCTTGTATTTCCAGATTATAAATCATTCCTTTGACAGGGTATCTGCCACAACCAGGTCTCAGTTTCTGTGGTATCATTTTTTATATTACGGCTGGCAACCGCTCTTCGGGCTGTTCATAGAAGTGACACATTTTGCATAATTTATGAGAAGGGGGTCAAAATCAAAGCTAATAAAAGCCCTCCCCAACTTTTCTTGTACATGTCAAAGTGTCTCGGGTTTGGGGTTTTAAGAGGACGGGGTCATGGACGGAGGGTGTTTTTCTCTGGTGTTGGTAGGCACTGTATTTACCAATACCGAAATTCAGTGTTGCCAAAGTCAACATGAAGCAAAGCTACACACGTGAGCCAATCGGTTACTGACAGTCAACCTTCAAGAGCAAAGTAGTATCTCCTTAAAATTTATGTAAAGAGACAAAAGCATTTAATGCATCTTCACACAGAAAAGGTAGCTAGAAGTGAGTGCCTCGTTTTCCTCTTCTGAAACTAAGAGCGTTTAAGAAGATGGTCTCCAGGCTTCCTTCCGGTTCTGACATTTTGGTGAGGCTACCACGTTTCCTGGTGGAATCAAAGCACAGCGAACCCAGATGGTGGTCAAAAACCTATGCTGCTTCTCTGCTGCAAACGAGTTTGGATTCAGTCTTAGATTTAAGAACCAGAAGGTGTCTCTCGTTCCTGAAACTATGCAGATATACCAGCTATATGCCAGCTGCATAGCAGAACCCATATTCTGAAAGTTATACATTTTTAACTCCCGGATCACAGCTGACTCGCGGTTGTACCCAAGATGCCCTGGTTTTTATCAATGTGAATCTAGGGAGACATTAATTTGAAAGAAGATACCCACTAAGCACAATGAAATCCAAGCAAGAGTGTGAGGTGCCTTCCAATTTATGCTCTTATGAATTTATGAATGAAGGAAATCAATAGTTTAAAAGACTGGAAAGCACCTCGACCGAGAAATAAGAAGCTCTCAGTCACTCCCCACAAGAAGCCCGGCTTACTCTGGGTCTCCTTGGTTGCTCTTATTAGATCAACGCTTCTTTGACATTCCATTAGTCATAATACAAAGCAGGAACTGTGAGTGGCCCAACCCCCGACATTAGCTGGAAGTGGTTTCCAAATTAAGCAAATTCAGCATTTCCTGAGCAATTAGGTGCCCTTCCTCATCCACCCTCCTCCACCATCCAAAAGAGGATTTGTATATATTTTCAAATACAGCCAAAACATAATTGTAGTGTAACCAGAGAAATTTAGTACGAAACTTCTGCTGGAAACCCACAGATGTTGTCCCCGAGCTAAGTTAATCTACTGAAGTAGCTTCTATCCTGATGGGCTGTGTATATGGACTGTGTTCCGTCCTGATGGATATACATGGTCTGCACATTTCAGAACTCTTTGGGAAGTCATATCTTTCCAAAATGTGGAAGACGGAGCTTATCTATGCAGAATAATTTTTTTGTGTGATAATTGTTGAATGCTGAAATAGATTCCTTCGAGAATCTTAATGTCATCATTGGATTTTAGAACTGAGAAGACTTCATAGAAAATTTCATTTTTCGGTTGAGAAACTGACACCCAGAAGAGGAAAAGGTCTTGCCCAAGTTCATAGAGACAGCGGCAGAATCAGGACTAGAACCTGAGGACTCCTGACTCCTATACACAGACGGTAACTTTCATGCTTTCTTGACCATGAACTGCTGTACGCAATGTATTTCTCATTACGATCCAGTCAAATTTACATCCAAGCAACTGCAACAACATTTCAAGAAATGGTTCTTACCCTTATTATGTGTGTGACGTGCTCTGATCCATTCTGTTTTGTTCCTTTTCACTTACTTTTTTTGAACACTGGTCAGGAACGGCTTAGAGTTATAACCTACAGTTTTTAAAACCATGTTCTAGACTGTGTTTGCTCCGAAATGGCATATTAGATTTCCTTTAATAAATACTTCCTACAAATAAAGCTCCTATTTTCCACCCCGTCTGAGAAATAGAGTAGGACGGCATTCCTCACCCAAGCCCAGGATTCCACAGACCTGCTTGCATTTGATAGAAACAAAATTGACTCCTACAAGTTATGTTCTTCCTTAATATTAGTGACTAGAAAAGCTTAAATTTCTGGAAAAAGACAACCCAAATAACAGAAGATCCAAAAGCAATCAAAAGCAACGACCCTAGTAAAATACAAGTCATTCAGCCAATAGGAGGACACTGCTCCACAGAGATGCTTATGCAGGCTCTTGGCTGAGTTTAGGGCTATTGGCCTTGGAATAAATGGCTTTTGTTAATAACTGCTCCATAAAACTCAGTGTTGTGTTCAGTTTATTTGGGTGACAGTAAACACCCAAATTTATGAGTCCAGTTTCACTAGTAGAGGGAAGGGTGTTTTTTGCTAAGAAGCTAAGCCCAGGCTGCTAGTCTACCAAAACAATGAGGAGAGGAGATCTCCTCTGGGTGGTTCTTACATATTCACTTGCAGGTTTTCCAATGATGCTCTCAGGTAATCAGTACCTCCAATCTTCTCTCTAGCAAAGCGCATGAAATCCCAGTTTCAACATATCCATCGTGTAACGTGGCAAGTATTCCTTCCTTGCCAGGGTAAAGCACAGAGCCAGCGAATCGGAGTGGCAGTTGAAAACTACAAGTCCCCCAGATGCCAGCAACAGGAAACGTGGAAGCAGGTCTCAGAAGACAGACACTCAACACGGGCCAAGCTCCTGGCCCGTGTTGATCTGCACACTCCCCATCCGAAGTGGCTGCAGGCCAGGTGCGGGACCACAACAAGCAAGAACTCCTTTTGTCCACTTCCTCCACGGGACAAGGCACGGACCTGTATCTCATCAGTTCACAGAATGTGCTGGATTCCAATGCTGGGTTCGTCCTTACAGACCGGGGATGGAACAGCTTAACTTCTTTTGCTGGAAACCCCCGCGCCTCCATCCTATGGTAATACGGAGCCAGCCAAACCTTGTTCCTCACTCGGGGCTGATTTCTGGCACCACTCCCACTGCAGGACTCCAGCACTGACAGAGGTTAATGGGTACCATTTAGCCACTCTCGGCAGCGCTGGTTTGATCTTCTTGGCTCTGATACTCTTCCTCCTCTTGGCACAAGAAAATTCAGCTTTTGCCCTTTATCTTGTTATCCAAGAGCCTGAATGCCCATGACAGCCAGGGATGAAGATGCTGCCCCTTCTAAATCCTTGGCAGAGTGGGAGAATTCAGCCCAATGCAGGCAATGTGCACTGAGCTCTTTCTTTCTCCCTCAACAGCCAGCTGGCCTGTTGCGGAAACCAAGGCCAATCGGAAAAGACACACACGCATATGTGGCTGTGTTTTCTCCTCCACCACAAAAGACAGAGGAGCAGACAGGGGCCGGAGGAAGGAGTTTCTCACTCTCAGTAAGCAAAGATGATTAAACCTGCCCTGATTCCGAAGAACCCTCGACCATCCTGAGTTCCTAAGTCCTCAGAGGTGCATCAGCCCACAGAGTTACACGTGAACGTGACTTGGGAAGAAAAACGTCAACGTCAACGTGACTGCTTCTCGGCAAACGAGTGCACATGGGCTCCAATCACAAACAATGGATCACTCTCTCCTGGAACACCGACTACTTTTTTAAATCCACTCAGAAGGCTCCTGACCCAGCCTCAGACTCAGCAGAGAAGTAGGAATGAGAGGGGCACAGAGAGGTTGGGGCCTGCAGTCATCATGGACCATATAGATAGAGTCAAGTCCTATTATTCCCAAAGATGCCTTAAGTCACAATAGAGCACAGCACTGTATCGAACCTCTACTGAGTGCACACGGGCTAATCAGTGCATTGAGTGCAAGCAGTTTCTCTTATAGCACTGGAACAGATAGCTGTGACTTTGGCTGAGCACCAAATAAAGGAGTTGGTTTGTATTTAGGAACACAAAATGCGTATCTTTTCACCCAAGACTCACACTCAAAGAGGAACTTCAGTGGGACCCACTGAGGACACGTGTCCCTCCCTAGGGAAACGTGACTCAGTTTCCCTAGCAGCACGCTCCTGCCACCCTCCTCTCTTCCGCCCTTTCTCTCCAAGCACGGAGCTAAATTTGCCCATCTTTGGGAATGAATCTTTCGTCCCAAATATAGCTGGGAGGATGGCTCAACTTCCGATTTAGAATTCCTGTCCTTTTCACCACCGTGAAGATTCCAGAATTTTTCCTGAATAACTCCCATTTCTACCTACATGTTAATTCCAAAAGTTCCAAAAAAGTTTGGATGAGGATATTCAGAAATCAAAATGGTACTCATGAAATGCACAGTGGTGGACTGAGAGTGAACGGCTTCACAGGCAGCTCAGGGCCTCAGTTTAACAGCTCTGAAATGGGCGTAGTAGCACCCTTCTCTGTGGAAAGGGTGGGATCAGGTTAATTAATTGGCTTCCTCAGAGCAGAAGATGTGTCAACCTCTTCAAACCCTTAAGATGAAAGCTGTGAAACGGTGTCATTGTTTCATAAATTGCTACATCAAACATGGGACGCCCTATAAACTTGCAACACGTAATTATCATAAAAATAGCACACTGTTAAAACTTCCAGAAGAACACGGCATATTTGATGGAAAAGAAATACGTGTGGTCCTGAGCAAAGAGCCCCACCTCCAATCCATCTCCCGGGACCCACCCACTACTCCCTCTCCTCGAAGTTCTGTGACAGCCTCCCAGAGACTCTGTCTCCACTTTGCCCTCAGTGATACTGTGATTTATAATATGAAATGTATATTTGGTCTTTATCTCCATTTGTGATGCAGAGCTCCTAAAACTCTTGCAATTTCCTAAGTGAGGAGAGCGGCAGAGATGGCTTTTGTTATGCTCAGGAGGTGACTTTCGGACAGAGCCTAAAGGTGGGGGCTGGTTGACTAACAGGAACAAACCAGGAGATTAGAGAGTAGGAACTTTCAGTCCCATATCCCAAGCTCTGGAGGTTGAATCAATCACCAATGGCCGATGACTTAATCAATTGTGCTTACATAACGAGGCCTCCATAAAAACCGAGAAAGACAGGTTGGAGAGCTTCCAGGTTGGTGAGCACGTGGAGACTGACGAGAGTGGCATGCTTGGAGAGGACGTACAAGCTCTGTACATCTTTTCGATCTGGCCAGTCCTGAGTTATATCTTTTTACGACAAATGGGTGGTCTAGTAAGTAATACGTTTCTCTACGTTCTGTGACCTGCTCTAGCAAATTTATCGAACCCAAGGAGGGGGTCATGGGAACCTCAGGTCTAGAGCAGGTTGGTTGGTCAGGAGCCCGGGTGACAACATGGACGTGTGATTAATGTCTAAAGAGGGAAGACGGTCTTGTGGGACTGAGCCCTTAACCTGTGGGATCGGACCCTGTTTCCAGGTAGATCGTGTCCAAATTGATTTGAATGTAGGACACCCAGCGGGTGTTGGAGAATTGCTTGGTGTGGGAAACCCTACACGCAGATATTTTCATGACTTGTTCCTTCTCCTCCTCTGGGTCTGTGCTCAAGTGCTATTTTCTCAGTGGTACCTTCCCTGATCATCTTATTTAAAACTGTAACCCTCACCCCACACATAATCTCCTTACCCCTTTCCTGGTTTATTGCTCCCCATAATTCTTATCCACCTGACTTACTATTTTTTGTTTGTTTATTTTCTGCTTCCCACAGGACAATGCCAACTCTCCTAAGGCCGGGATTTTGTTCTGGTTTACTCACTGCTACCTCCCCAGCACCTAGATCAGTGCCCGGCACATGAAGGTGTTTGATAAATATTTGTTGGATGAATAAATGAATGACAATTCTTCCAACTGTAAGGACTTTTTTCACTTCCCATAAGATTATCCATAGTCATACCTTCTTATAATTTCTGCAGCTGCCCTTTTGACTATTTTTAGATGTTCACAGCTGCCTTAGAGGGAATTATCTGGTAGAGACAGGAAGAGACAGAAAGACAATGTCATGGATAAGACTTGATTTGTTTCCCAAAAGTGGGAGCTATGCCTTCTATTCTTTTATGTTCCTTTTTTTTTTTTAATCTGATACAGTCCTGGGTGCTCATTAAGAGCTTCTCTGAGGGGCGCCTGGGTGGCGCAGTCGGTTAAACGTCTGGCTTCAGCCAGGTCACGATCTCGAGGTCCGTGAGTTCGAGCCCCGCGTCGGGCTCTGGGCTGATGGCTCAGAGCCTGGAGCCTGTTTCCGATTCTGTGTCTCTCTCTCTCTCTGCCCCTCGCCCGTTCATGCTCTGTCTCTCTCTGTCCCAAAAATAAATAAACGTTGAAAAACAAAATTAAAAAAAAAAAAAAAGAGCTTCTCTGATAAACAAATGAGTCAACAAGTGAGAAGTTAGACTCTGGCTTTCCACCACTTTGTGTTGAGATCAAATGGACCCCTTTTGTGAAGATGGCATTGGGAGAGAACACCCATCTGTGTGTCTTCTTAAAAACCTTTCAGTGGCAAGTAGCAAAAATCCATTCCAGCTGGCTAAAGCAATTGAGTGGGTTTTACAGGAAAAACACAGGGATAGCTCAATGAACCTTAAAAAAGGAAGGACTCATGGGTGATTGAAATCATAAACTGGAACGCCAACATAAACAGTGTTTATTTTCTGGTTCCAGTCCCATGGTCTCTCCTCACAGCTGGTTGTTTGCACCTGTTTCACGCACCTCTCTGTCTCTCTGCGCACATGAGTGAGACATTGCCGCTCCAGGTTACTTTATGGTCCTTTCGGGTCAAGTGCCCTCCACGCCCCACCAGAGGCCACAGTCCCTATTCCTAACTGCAGTGAGAGAAAATCAGCTGGCTTGGGAAGGAAATTCACCTGCTGTAATTTTCAATGGTGATAGGGGTGAAGTCTTTTACAGATTTGTAATTCCTTATCTGAAATATGTGGGTCCAAAAGTGCTTCGGATTTTACAGCTTTTCATATTTTAAAATAGTGATGTATACTGTACATTACATAACATCATCACTGGGTCTGAGGCCACATCCTAAAATTGAAAACATGAACACTTCTGACGGAAAATGGATGAATATTCATAATAAATGGAAAAAATTAAAAGTACTCACAGTGCCGAGTCAGACCAGGTCAGCGTTTGCTATCAAGTGAGTTCAGATAGGGTTTGATATGGACCCAAATGAGTTGGAAAATCTTTCCATTTTCAGAGTCATTTGGATTTCTAATTGAGGATAAGTATGGTAATCATACCATTTATTGTGCAAACTTCACTTCTGAGAATAAAGGGGTTGCTGTTAAGGATTTCATTGGGAGGGAATGCTGAGGATACGCATGTGGCAATGTCATTTCCTAATCTCTCCAACCCTCCTATAATTATACACAGAGCCAGCAAGACAGCAAAACCAAAACCCATGAACAGCATCTACTAAAAAACAAAACAAAAAACAAACAAACAAACAAACCCTAAGTGACGGGTATCCCCATAAACTCCAAAAGCCATTAAGTATTTAAGAGCTACCATATCCATACAGCATCTGTGTAGAAAGAAGCACAAGGAAACTCTGGGGCATTGAATGGACTGACTTGAGAACAGAAGAAACCACAAATCCCCATGAAGTCTGTACTGGAAATGGGGCAGGTCAGTTTGAAACAACAACTGAATCTGAGACTTTTCCACTGTCAAATTCTTGGGTGAATGCAAAGGTTTAGGAAAATATCGTAAGGGACTGCATTAGCCTGGGCCCTAGGAACATCTCCCCCTTTATCCCAAAAGGAACTTTTGCTTCCTTTCAGGATAAAGCTCCTCCCTAGGAGTAGAATCCAGAGGGGGACAGGGACAGCAAAAATAATGATCAAGATAAAACTGAGGGCAGGCGTTACAGGGGCAGTTCTCTGGATTATAAAACCATATTTTTTTTATCACTTTGTAAAGAAACAAACAAAACAGAAGTAAGAGCTCTAGAACCATGAAGCTAGAAAAAAATATTCTAACTCCCCCATCCCCACCCAAAAGTGAGGGAAAACTAACTTTACATGATAATAACCAAAAAAAAAAAAATATGATCACAGTCAAATCCTACACAGTTATCATTTTTAAAAAAGAGAATAAGGAAGAGAATAAGTGACATGTCAGTACGACACATGCACACAATACATAAGAAATGCAACCAATATTTCAAAATAAGCTAAAAGAAATAAAGATGATATAAAATTATGGAAAATAAGACAGAAAATTGTAAGTTGGGATTTTTTAATTTTTTTTATTTTTTTTTCAACGTTTTTATTTATTTTTGGGACAGAGAGAGACAGAGCTTGAACGGGGGAGGGGCAGAGAGAGAGGGAGACACAGAATCGGAAACAGGCTCCAGGCTCCGAGCCATCAGCCCAGAGCCTGATGCGGGGCTCAAACTCACGGACCGCGAGATCGTGACCTGGCTGAAGTCGGACGCTTAACCGACTGCGCCACCCAGGCACCCCAGTTGGGATTTTTTAAATTCAGACACAAAGTTAGAGAACCAAGGAAAAATTTAGAAATAAAATAATAAATCATAAGTGAAGACCCAACTGTAAGAAATAAATAAGTCAACAACCTATAATATAAAGGCAAAAAAGCCAAATATCCTTAAACTAGAAAGAAAGAGACAAAAAGGAATAAAAATAAAATGGTAGATGGAGGAGAGAAGTCAAAAAGAAAAAGAAGAAGCAACATATGTATAATAGGAGGTCCCCTCCATGTCAAAGGAGGAAACTAAAGTAGGAGAGCACAACAAATACTGAAAACTAGAATTTAAGAAAAATTCCCTGAAATAAAAAAGTTGCTTGTAATTACAGTTGATCCTTGAACAACATGGGTTGGAACCATGCAGGCCCACTTGTATGTGAATTTCTTACAGTACAGTGCTTTAAATGTATTTTCTCTTCCTCACAATTTTGTTAATGACATTTTCTTTTCTCTAGCTTACTTTATTGTCATTTATTATTTTTGTATGATATACAAAATATGTGTTAATCGACTATTATGTTATCAATAAGGCTTCTGGTCAACAGTAGGCTATTAGCAGTTAAATATTTAGGGGAGTCCAACATTATTTGCAAATTTTCAACTGCATGTGGGGTTGGTGCCCAAACCCCCACGGTGTACAAGGTTTAACTGTATATATTAAAGGGACATATCATAGACCTGAAACACACACACGCACACATACACAAGGACCAACATTGAAATGTTGTCTTAAAAAACAACTGGGCTTCAAGAAAAAGAAAAAGAAAATCCTATGGGCATCCAAGAAAGACCAAATCACTTAGAAAGAAATGAAGATTATCATCAGATTGCTCAATAGCAATGCTTTATGCCAGAAGAAAATGGACCATCATTGACATAATCAAGGGAAAATGTATTTTATATTTTTTTATCCAGTCAAATCAACATTAAAGTCTAAATACCGCAGGTAAACCATTATAACCATGCAAGAACTCCAAATATTTTTCTCAGGAGCTCTTCCTGAGGAATTTACTAGATGATAAGCTTCGTGTGATCAAAATGGCAGGAGGCATTGCCATGAGGACTAGCAACCCAGTGTTCCCAGCAGGAGAAAATGGAGACACAAGAGTACAAAAATAAGAGAAAACTTTTAAGTAAAAATCCTGTAATCCTGAACTTGAATTGAAAGCATCAGCATAAATTCATGATATGTTTCATCTTTAAATTTCTCTCAGCTGTATCCACTGAAAAGGCCTAGAAACATGACCAAATGGTAGAAATGAGCACACCAGTGCCCCAAATGTGGCCTCTAACTACCATGTCCTGCTGAAAGGCAACAGGGCTTCTCAGAGCCATGGCTGGTTCCAGCATTGCAGCAGGAGGTGTGTGAGTTGAACACAGCTCCTCTTGTTATATTAGAAGCAACTTATCAAAAACTATTGAGATTTTGTCAAAGAACACAAGGGCCAACATGAAGACATTCCCACTGACCCGATAAGAGACAATTTGAGTACGAATAAGGATAATCACTGTAATGAATTAAAACGTATAAAATACAGGGCACCTGGGTGGTTCAGTCGGTTGAGTATCCACCTCTTGGTTTCAGCTCAGGTCATGATCTCATGGTTCGGGGGATCGAGCCCCATGTCAGGCTCTGTGCTGTCAGCTTGGGATTCTCTCTCTCTCTTCTCTCTGTGCCCCTCCCCTGCTCATGCATACTCTCTCTCAAAATAAAGAAATAAACTTTAAAAACAAACATAAAATATACTTAAATCCATGAATTAATAATGGTGCCAAAATAACCAATTGAAGAAAAAGGCTAGAGAGGAAACCTACAACGGAAGGAAACTCAAAAGACTCATGAAAATATCACAGTGCGTGTCCTTGTTTGCATCTTAGTTTGAACAAACAAAAAGCTTTAAAAAACCCACATACACATTCGTAACATTGACGAGAAAAGTAGAAAGCTTAACACTGCCTTGACATGTGATCATATTAGGGAAGGACAGGTCATTATTTCAGGTGTGATGATGTCATGGTGATGTTTTTGGTGAAGTTTTTACCTTTTACAATTACAGTGACTGGGACTCGTTTAAAGATCGTATGAGAGAGGAAATGGGGACACCTGGACCTTTATTATTCTAGTCTGTGTAATTCTGTCTATTTTGGAAGTTTTCCATAAGAAAAGTTGCTGTTTTGTTTTCATTTTACAACAGGATAACAGACCAAATTGGGACCGGTCCAGGCAAAACAAGCTATAGTTAACCCTCTGGATAAAGGATTACAAATATATGGTCCAGATATGGCTACAGGGACCCAGAGATCTGCTGACAGGCCTATCAAACACCCCAAAAGGTGGTTAGCATGAT